ATGGATCAATCCAGTGTTCTGACATGATAAGAGCATATATAAGGCAACCATTCGTTACACTCCAAGCCATTTCATGAGCTGCTGGCAAGGCAGCTGAATGTGCACTCGTCCGGGGCATGGTGGGATGGAACCGAGGGGGGGCACCGAGGGGACCCTCCCCTCTGCTTCCTTCCCCTGCACGTGCTCAGCCGAGCATGAGCATGTGCAGGTGAAGGAAGCAGAGGGAAGGGGGTACGGTGAGGAGGGGGGGGGGGTGTGGCGCACGCTTGAGTAGGATAATAGTAGGAGTGGAGGATACAACCGCTAGCAAAACTGCAAGGTAATCCATAATCGAGTAAATTAAGATGTTCTGATTGTGATAATACCCTCACCCTATACAAGACAACCATTTAGTACACCCCAAGCCATTGCTCAAGCTGCTCGCGTGGCAGCCGGACGTGAGCTCGCTCGTGGGTTGCTCCATCTATTACGATTCGATAAAAAGAGCGGATTATGAGTAGCTAGGTGAATGAACCAACTCCGTTCCCATTAAAAGCTAAGTCAGCCAAAGATAAGGAGGAGAGCTCGGTGTCAGCCGGGCGCTCCCACTGGTGTCTATAATAAACTAGTCAACGATATATTCTCCATTGTTTCTTACAACCTCCTCCCACCGATCAACCAGCTCAGTCTGTCACCAGAAGGCATTGAAAAGCATTGCTTTTCTCAAAATCAACTGTGAGCCGTCCTAATGTTAATCTGTTACTCAATGCTTTACTCAAACCATGGCGAATCTATTGAGCTGCTCCAGGGGCTTTGAAGCTTCCGTGGAAAGCGGTAGGGAGAAGAAGTCGGGAATGCTGATTCTCATCGACCTGACATTCCGTATTAATAACCTGAAATTAACAGAAAGTAAACAGCAATGGAAAACAGATTTCCATTGTAGAGCACGAATTTGCTATCAGAGCATGCAAAACATATTAGCGAAACATTCAACTATTAGCATAAAATTTCAAGGTGGAACAGACGCGATGACTTGTGATCCTGCCCATTATCTGCGAGGTGAAGGTTGCCAACTTCGAAATTCTTGAAATTAGTTCCGAAGCGTCCTATGAGGATTCCCTCGCTGAGACTTCTAGCTCAACCTATTGCAAATGTATGGAGCAGCTTAAAGGCAGCGTCCGCGATCAACCAAAGTGAAAAAACCCTCCAATGAAAACGAACGCGGAGTACGCAACCATAGCGGATATCCCACTCTTGCGGCTCGAAATCGATTGATTGACGAGGGCGGAGTCAACAAGGCTGAGCTGACGCCTCCTTCCCTGTTAATCCCGCCCCGACTGGTTAACAGTTATCAGTGCTTGCTGGCATTGATAAACGCTAAGTTTCTGGAGTTCCGAGGCGGCGACGTGTATTGGAGAACTCACCAAAGGTCTGCGAAACTCGTCCACATGCCTTAAATTTCGTAGGGTCTTATTTCACGCTCTTCCACACCTTTTTCCTACTTTTTTTGATTAGTGCTTCATTGGCCACCTGTTCTAACAAATTTGACCCCTGAGACCTGCCAAAGTCCATCGCGGGCGCTGTCTTTAAGCGATTTTAGAACTTCGAATAGACGTAAATAGAGGCAGCTGTCGAAGGTACTAATTTTCGCCGACTCAACTTTCAACTTCAACGACTAAAAACTTACAAAAATCATTTCCTCACCCAAAGCTGTTTCGATATTCTTATAGTACGAGAAGTTTCCTATCAGATGATATCAAACTTGCTCGCAAAACTTTTCACTTTTTGAACAAAATTTTCAGTTGAAAAAAAACGCCATTACTTATGGGCCAACCCAATAGACTTCCGTAGGGCATTCCAGTAAAACGAAAATAAGAAGGCCTGGCAAAGCCAGGTGGCCTGGTTCATAAAAAGGAGGACAGCTTCGCGTCACTCGAGCCATCCGACTGGTATCAAATGTAACTCGGAGACGGAAGAAGCGCAAAGATTATTCAGTCCAAATTTATTTCGAGTCCCTTTTTTGCTGGAGGAGCACCACCTACACCTACAAATTCGACATTCAGTAAACTATCTTCGACACAGTTCAGCAACCCGAGGGGGGGGGGCGGAATTTTGCACATTCACTGCTTCACTAATTCCGGTTCACGGTTCTCACTCTGGTAAGACCTGTGGATTCTTGTGAAGCTGAAGCAACCTCGTCGAGCGACCCTGGTAAGATCTGACAAGTCTTGTAAGCTCACGAAACGGGTCTTTAGATGGGTCGGTGCGTCGGTGGGAAGAAGCAAAAATGCAGAATGCTTCTCCCTTCACCGAAATGCCCTCTATTTTCTTTCAGGATTTGGAGATCAGCGTCAGATCACTTTCTCCATTCAAGTTCTGACTAAAAATGTCATTCACTCATTCAGTGGCCCTCTTAAAATCATACAGAAGAAAACAGCTCACCCATCTCCGAATCCAAAAAAAGAGCACGAGCGGTGAATGATCTATGTCTTCATCACCTAATAAATCTGACACCAACGTGCTGTGTTGAGTGGACAAGCTAGGATTGCTGACTTTTTGAGCGCGATTGCGCGACTCCGATGTCCTGAACTATATCCCGTGAGGAAGTCTCAGCTTTGAACAAACGAACAACTTGACATCTTGTGTTCGGTCTTTTCAAAAAGGTCACTTAGGTCCTTCCCCGGATTTTATCAGCATCTGCTGTTTAGATGGCATTCTGCGGCCTCAGTGATCTCTGCCGGCATCCCTTTCCATCTCTAAAAGTCGTGTTTGCTACGCATTTTCGCATTCGCTTGCTTGGAGCGCGCGCAAGCAGCTACTATTCTTTAACGGCTTTAGCTACAGAGTCATGGAAAAGTTTAACTTGTCATATGACTAATTTTGCGGGTTTTTGCCCTATCTCTCCCCACCTATCTGCCAATGTCGTTCTTAATTGGCTGATCCCCCTCGTCCTGCCTCCCAGTTTTGAAGGACGACGGCTTTCTGTAGAATGTACCTGCTCTTACACAACAATGTTTTCTACAACGTGCTGCTTTCGACAAGGTGTTTCAGAATAACTGCTGATAACAGCTGTTCAACGCCGCAGTTTCGGAAGTTATCATAAGAACGTTGAATTATGGGCAAAAGCCAGACCCCAGGTAGGACGCGAACCCGTACCCGTATCTGCCGCTTATCGGATCTTGGTTGTTGTCTTTACTCCCCTTGTCGTTGCTCCCCTTGGAGCCACTAGGCGGTGATCACTTGCAACTTTGATTACGTGGAGCGCTCACCGGACGGTGGGGCGTTCCCTACGACCACGCCGGCGAGCGTCCCGCTGATTGCGTGACGATGGAAAGCCGAGAAATTCCAGGAAATCATCATCATTGCCCCTGCGTCTCTGACACTGACTCTGCGCTCTAACACACCCCGCCGCGCCCTCTTCTCACTCTTCCATCTGAACTCCCGCCGATCGATGGTTGCTGACGCTACCAATCAGCTCATTTCTGCCACAATTTTGTTGTTTT